TGGAACTTTGTGTACTTGGCCATTACATGTGTATTTGATATGACAACTGTTGTGATAGTGGTTTCTAAAAAGTGTTTGGTGCCTCTGAAGATGATCCAAATGGATCAAAACATGTAAAGCTAGTGAATCATCAAGTGAGAAAACTGAAATAGTCACATTGGACAGACTTGTCTTTTGTAATTGCTACAGTATGGACTTTCTTGTTTGCTGTCTGTGTAAATCAGTTGTCATGGTTGTTCATCCTTCATTTCATTGCTGTTTCCACATCAGTTTTGGACTCACAGTTGCAGGTTCAGCACTGAAAGTAGCAGCAAAATAGTAGTGGAAAGGGTGGGTCACTTATCATATTAGGGACAGAAGACTTATTCTACTGTATGATAACCATCACAGTCTTCATATCAGATGTGTAAAAGAAATAGTTTGTGTGTCTGAGTAATGTATTGTTGCGTATTTACGCCATGCAAGAATCATTGAGCCACAGAAATCTCCAAACATGACAATTACGTAACAATAAGTAAAGCTGTGTTTTCTGTGTGCCGCACCACACGCGTTGCTAGGCAGCGCTGCAGTAGACGCATCTTGGCAGCAGCTAGTCGACACGTTGCTGAGCATCACCTCTGTAGACGTGACAGTTATGAAACAGGGGATTAAGCTATGTTTTCTGCATGTCCGTTCAAGGTTTTATAGGAGAGACTGGAATTCCTAAGAAGTGAGTTAGTCATTTCTCAGTCAGTGTTTGTTGTGAGACAGCCGCGGGAGGAAGACGACCTGAACATGTGATTTGAAGTTTTTACGAGTGTCATAGTCAGTGATAGTGGTAGCTGAGAAGTCAGTCAGTGAAGACTTATTGTGTGACTTCAAAACTTTGTGTGTGCTATAGTGCAGTGAGATTGGGAGTGTGTAATTCAGTGAGACTTGCATAGCTCCCGTCTTATAAATACATGAAAACTACTGCAGATAGGCTGAGAAGATTAGCATGTAGTGAGTGTAAATGGTGTAAACCCACAATAGTGTAATAACTAATTTTAGTTACGACCTGTAGGTTATTAATAAATCCAATTGTCAATCCAAACCCTATCTCCAGTTGACCAAAGAGGGTACAGCTGGTGTCAGAAAGTGATTACGATCTTAAACACTCCACAATTTAGGACAAATTATTGAATTCATGAGTGCATCAGGTATTATACTGCCACATGGTGGAGATGGAACAGATGATGGAACACCTGCTGGTGAGAATGGGCACTAATAGAAAAGCCCACTGGGAAGTTCTAAAACAAATAATGAACGACATGAACGATTAATTCAAAACTGCAATTCATTCCATGAGGGCAGGGCAAAAAGAGAGGATGGCCTCTGTGTGTGTGTGGGTGAGAGAGAGTGGGGGGGGGGAAGGACTTTGGATTATGGTGAAAATATGGACTGACTCCCACCTTATCGTGGAGCTGCTTGGGACAAGCAGCCTTAACGAGGGAGTGAATGTAGTGGTTGGAGAATGGGCAACAGGAAGGAAAGACACACCAAGCCAAAGAAAAAGAATACATTGCAAGCACAGCCCTTTGAAAAAAAAAGGAACAGTGATGCCCCGTTAGACTATTCAGGATGAACAGCCTTAAGGAGGGAGCAATGTGGCGTATTTACACCATGCAAGAATCTTTGAGCCACAGAAATATGTAAACATGGCAATTACACAACAACAAGGAAAGTGGTGTTTTTTCTGTGCCACTCCGTGCTCGTTGCTAGGCAGTGCTACAGTAAACGCATCTCGGCAGCAGCTCATCAACACGTTGCTGAGCACCTCTGTAGACGTGACAATTATGCAACAGTGGAGCAAGCTGTGTTTTCTGCATGTCCATTCAAGGTTTTATAGGAGAGACTGGAATTCCTAAGAAATGAGTTAGTCAGATCTCAGTCAGTGTTCGGTGTGAGACAGCCACAGGAGGAATGTGATTTGAAGGTTTTATGAGTTTAATAGTCATTGATAGTGAGTGATAGCTGAGAAGTCAGCCAGTGAAGACTTATTGTGTGACTTCAAAACTTTGTGTGTGCTGTAGTGCAGTGAGATTGGGAGTATGTAATTCAGTGAGACTTGCATAGCTCCCGTCTTATAAATACATGAAAACTACTGCAGATAGACTGAGAAGATTAGCATGTAGTGAGTGTAAATGGTGTAAACCTGCAATAGTGTAATAATTAATTGTAGTTATGACCTGTAGGTTAATAAATCCAATTAACAATTAGAACCCTGTTTCTAGTCAATCAGAGATGTTACAGTATCATCCATACTCAAGATCAGTTACCTCTTTAAGATAAGTAACTCACTTAGTTGAAACTTTACTCCAGTTTATGAGGCCTGACTTTTCATCAGTAAAATTTGTAATGCTTGCCTGTTACACTTGCTAACTGCATCTTATATACCTGCAGTCTGTAGAGTAGTGACATGGATCTCCTACAGACACCTTTTGCTATAGATTCTTATGGATGGTGCTGGATAAAATAATTTAAGTTTCAGAAGTTTGTTCAGCAAGAGTTTACCCCCTTAAAATTCACCCTTCACTGGAAGTTTGTAATTTAATGAATTCTTCAGCTTTCTGCAGATAATGATGAAAGTTAAAATTGCAGTACGTTACTGACCATGCAGATTATTCACTCATTTGGTGAAGTCTTGTTATGTAGGAAATGAGTCAAATTGAACTTCAGGCAGATAATACTTACAGTGTGTGATATGGAAGATGAGAAGTCCATGAAAGTTAAAAGTGTGAATAGTTGTGTTAGGAATGATTCTAGTTTGTTATTAAATTAATAATGTAGGTAGGTGCCTGAAGACTGTTAATTTGATAGTCTGTGCATTCACCCTCTCATCAACAGAACTGTAAGAACGTATGTACGAATATTCTATCATGCTTTATAAACTTTACATCCTGCAAACTTTTGTGCATGAGAGTCAGTTTGCATGGTCCACTTACACAATGTAATCTGGTCAAACCTTACCAAGAGAGAAGAAAGAACAGCTTATAAGTGTGGATTCCTTTATACTGCTGCTGACAGAATCATTAAGTAATCTTAAACTATGTAAATATAATTGTAATTTGGACCATCATAAATAAACCAGCTGGTACTTTTATGGGGGTTAAGGAACTTAAAGAAAGAAGCTCTGAAACAGCTATGGAAGGTTCCATCTGCAGGTAATTTGGATAGAGGGAATGAAGCAATGGGGCTTTATTAACCCTCCATCTTAGGATATTTCTGGTGCCTAGCCTGGCTTGAACACTTCATGTACAGTCAGATCTGCCACTGTAGTCTTTTCTTCTGTCTCTCTTGGTAGAGTATGATTTGATTATGTTTTGTAAATGTAGTGCAGTTGCCTAAGCTTCAGATTGACTTTATGCAGAAATGTCTGCTAATCAGAGAAGAAGTAGAGTTTGTTCATCATACTGGAATATTTGAGCTACACATGTTCTGACATTCTTGTTGATAAGTTTCAGTGATTTGTGATTGTCCAGATATAAGCAAATAGGAAGAACAAGAAATTCAAGAAAGAACTCTTCAGTGTCTGATATTTTTCAAATCTTGTACTCTTCGCCAAGTGTAGTTAGAATAATGCAGGTCAAGATGTATGAGATTGGGAAGGCCAAAAGGAAGGAGACCGCTATGAAAACAAAGATGTAGTTGGTTGGATAATATTAAAATGGATCTTAGAGAGATAGGATGTGGTGGTATGGACTGTATTGATCTGGTTCAAGATAGAGACCATTGGAGGGCTCTTGTTAACACGGTAATGAGCCTTTGGGCTCTATAAAATGTTGGGAATTTCTTGAGTAACTGTGTGACTGGTGGCTTCTCAAGAAGGGCTCAGCTCCATGAAGTTAGTTATTTAGTTAGCTAGTTAATATTTGTGAAATGCTTCTTTATTCAGTATTCATGTGTGTGGGGAGCAAGACATATACTAATTTGAACACTTACTGGTGTGACTCTACAAATGTGTCTAGTGTTCCATGCATATGCATAGTTTTTCAGAGTTGGTCATACTGCAACTTTGTTTTGTATACACGTACATTAAAACACAGTAGTTGAATTTACTATTCCTGTTTCATGTTGTACCTATCCCTACTTCACTACCACTTTCCCCTACCCTGGAAACAGATCCCTCGTTTGCCACTGTGTCCCCTTGGCAGCATCACCGTAACTGCTTACTGTTGATATACAAAGAGAGTACATGAGTCGCTGCTCGATTTGCAGCAAGTTCCCCTCTACAGTTTTCCATGTTTTACCAAATAACTGAGGACTCCTATGGCCTTAAGACTCATGGGACACTTTGTATATGTGACAATATAAAAAAAATTTAAATCGTCACAGAATTTGGTTATCAATTTCTGTGCATAATTGTCCACTGTAGTGCAGTGTATGTAGATCAGAGCTTCAAACCACTGAGAGGCTGCATTTTATGTATGTCTATGTGTAGGCAGTGTTACAAAAATTAATTTTTTCATGTGTAGCAATAGAAATATCTGCCTGCAATGATCAGATCTACAATTCACATACATATGAATAAAAATTACACTCATAGGGATCAAAAACGTTTATTTAAATTTAATACCGTATCACATTGAATATAAGACACACATTTTACACTCTTTCCTCCATTGGAAAATTGAGGTGACTCATAAATTTGAGGAATGTGCACCTTCTTAATTCCCCCCCACCTGAAACCCACATTCAAAAACTGAATGCATCTTAAATTTAAGGGTGTCTCATATTCAAAGTAATGCAGTATATTGTAATATTACATACCAAAATTATAAGAATTCAATAAATCTGCTTCTGGCACAAAATAGAAAACACCCACTCTGAATTATTGTCAACCTGAGCATTATTGACTGATGTTTTCATTTGCAAGATGGTACATGACTCTACATTCATCTTGGTAATAGCAAGTCAGAATGGGGAAGAGGTGCTCTCCCATAAGTTGGTAATCCCAAGAGAAGGAAAATGTTAGTACATAAGAAGTGTGCTGTATCTTCTGGGTTGTGATGCCGTGTAGTCTCACAGGAGTTTACCAGCATTCTTTTGAAATGTTGGTGAACTTCTACCAGACTACATGGCATCACATCTCACAAGGTAGTGCTTCTCAGTCACCACCACAAGTACCTCAGTTCAACATGTTGATACATTGCACATAAAACAAAGTGGCACATCATGGGTTGGCCACCCTGGTGTTTATATAACCTTAATTTTGTAATTTTTGACATATACAAAATAAATTGTGCAAAATCTGTGTTGCACAAGGGTTACATATTTTTTAATACTGGATACTACACCAGATTTAGTATACATGATGTACATAGGCAGTGGTACCACAAGTCTGTTTTTCACTATAAGGGCAGAGAGTATATGCTAAAAATTGGATGTTGTATTTTAAAACTAAGGTAAATGAAAGTTCATGTAACGTTCAGGATAAGGGCACAGGAACACATGAAGCTAGAATGTACTGAACTGTATTGGGGACCCTGTTGGTATAGTGACTAGACTACAGGCTGGACAACTGAAGGATTAGGGATCAATTCCCAGCAGATGTGAGAAGTTTCCTTTTCTCCATGGTGTCCACACCAACTCTGGGTCCCACCCAGCTTCCTGTGCAGCAGGTAGAAATGGCTTTGTCCTCACAATAAAGTGGATGGGACATGAAGCTCACTGCTCACCTCTGTCTAGTGCTGATGGAGCTATATCTCCATTTCCCCATATATGGTTTGTAATTAAGCACAAGGACAGGTTTCCCTTTACCTTCTTCTTGGGGTTCGGTGAGGCCACTTGGTATGTCAACCCCTAGTGGGTCCATTGTATCAATCCCAGTGATGATGGTGATGAATGTAGAGCAGTTGGTGGAATGCGAATTGGTAGGGGAAACAAGTACTCAGAGATAACCAGCCCAATATTTTCAGATTGTAGCCTTTTGGAACATGACACTATGTAGTTTGGTAATTTGGTTTCAGTGTAGTCCCATTTTATGCATATTTGAAATATAGGAACATAAAAATTAATAAAGCCTCACTTTATGCAAAAAGTTTAAAATAATGTGAATCCCTCCAAAAAATTGGCAAGAATAACAATTTTGAGAAAACTTGTCTTGAATTATAAGAGGTCTACTGTGATGTATCCTTGCATAAAATGTGACAGCACTATGCCAGCATTTTGGCTGAACCTAATGCCTCTGTCATCAAAGCAGCCCTGAAAATGGAGGCAGTAGACTCCCCTGAAACATAGGTACCACCGTACCAGACTGCATGGCAACGCATACTAGAAGAATATAATCAGAACACTCGCTGCCTTAATCATCTGTAATCCAATACATTAAGTATTATTATCTGTATGCATTCTACCCTTATGCTGGAAACTTCCGAGTTTCTTGACATTTCTTAAATTCATACATTTGACAGAAAGTTGCATACTCCTGTGGCTTGTAGTATGAAACTTCCTGGACCCATTACAACAGCCGTATCCTGTATAGTACAGTAGAACATGGATGTTTTTATTTTTTCATTTTCTGTTTTTGCTTCTTTGTTTGTCCGTAGAGCTCGGGTTTTGCCTACACTCTTCTACTACTACTTCTTGTACTACTTCCCGCTGTCAGTGTGACCCGCCCCACCGCTGCACAGACAGTATGTTAGCACCCAGCATGGGCATGACGCAAAGCTACCCCACTGCCAGTCCAAGAGCTGAAGGAAGAGTGACGAAATGTCCATCATGTATCAATAATAACGTCAGTTCCAGTGAAGATACTTTTGGTGGCCAAAATTTGTGCGTAGAGGTCACCTCAGGTGAAGAAAAGGAAGTAGATTGCAGTGTTGCCAAGACTAGCGAAGATAGTGACATTCGGGATGGCGATTGTGACATAATGCTGCAGTCATGCGAGGAAGTGTTGACAGAGGAGCCAGGCGATGTGGCCTGTGCGTGTCCAAAAGGAACACGAAGTTTTACTCATACAGGTTCTCTGCCTAAGAAGTGGAAAGATTCATTGAACAATCGCACTAAAGCATGGGGTCGACCTGTGATCCCACCATTTAGGATGACATCTGATGGAACAGTGGTAAATTACTGGTGTGACTTACCACGAAAATCTGTTACGGGGAATCATGGTATGTTTTTTTTGGTTTCCTAACTCTGCATGGCTTTCGTTGGCTTTATGTGTTGTACTTAGATATGCTCACCTCAGCACTTCATCTCATGTTCTCCAGCAAACAGAATATGGTGCGTATCTGTAAACATGGTGAATGAAATAGCAGTTTATATCTTTGTAAATGCTTCTATTTAATAGGCTGACACTTGCTATTCTGTCATTGTGTATATTAGCAAGTAGTTATGTATAGGAGCAGAAGGTGGCAGGTGTAAACAGCAGCGGACAGGTATACTCAGTCGATATTGCTGTGTCAACTTTTACTGAAAGATCATATGGTACCTCTAGATATAAGCACAGCTTCATGTGTGTTGTTACTTTAGTGTCATGGTATGAATGTAGTGGCGCTATTTGTAACCATTTTTATTTTACATTCTTCCTCTCAATCACTCCTTGTACATAGTGGGGCATCATGCGATCTTATAACCACTTCGAAAATATTGGAAGTTGCATGAGGATAGAAACAGGAATGATGTTTAGGGTGCGAGCATGAGGATTCTGCTCAGGGCTTTACGGGTCTCTCTCCGATGAGAGGAGGTTCCTTGAAGAAGTCCGTGGATCACACTCTACTAGTGAAACGATGAACTTGATTTATTTTTGGCAGCACAGCATGATGTTATAGAATCAGTCCATTTAGGCTGATACAACTACTCTGGCACACTACTGTACTGTTCACCACTAGGCATACACAGCAGTACTACTCAGTGCACTGAATACAATGAATTCTGCTATGAGTAGAATGAATACTATAATCAACGTCATACAAAATCAGTCTTCAAATACTCGCGAATAAGTAATGCTTCCAGAACCTTCTGCATTGAGATTTTTCCTGAAGCTACCACACTGTTCTACAGATTGAGAATGTTCTGGAAGTTTCTTTAATTGGGCTGATAGGAGGAGTAACTGATACACATACAAGACCAGCTATCATGGGACTGTCTTGAGTTCCAGTAGTACTTATCTAAACATTCCTCGCTACCAGTTCTCAGAATAGTTACTGCAAAACTGAGTATAAGTCACCTTTAGTACAGAAATTGTATTACGTTCATCATTAGTACAAAAATGGTATTATGTTCTAAGTATTAAGGAGATTAAAATTTTTATTATATTTGGTAATATTTAAGAATGATGCCAGTAAGTAATTATCGGTTACATTAGAGTGCTCTATTTTATCTGCTGCCCTAACTAAATTATGATACAGCTTGAAGTCTACTTTTCTGATAACAAGGATTGCCATTGAACATATTCCTGAGTCCATTTAATTGAATTTGAATCCTGAAAACCATTTCATAAAAATCCATTTTAATACCAAACATACTTTTAGCATTTATTTTCCCATCATAGGTACATGTCCTGCCCATTGCAACGTCCTTGGTTTTTAGTGTACGTGGAAGCTGTTACCGAATGTAATCCTGAGCCATTTTAACCAATTTCACATACCTGAAACTTTTTCTCACTGAATTGTGATGTTATTGCACTGTCATTTCCCTCTTGGAGTGAATATTTAACGTAAATGCATCTGTACCAGAAATCTGGAAAGTAATAGTTACATACAGCTGGGGCCGCACCATAGCTCAAGTGGTTAGTCGCTGGCTTCCCACCGCGGCAGCCCAGGTTCGATCCCAGGTCTGGTCAAGTGGGATTTGTGGTGGACAAAGTGGTGGTGAGCAGGTTTTCTTTGAGTACTTTGGTTTCCCCTGCCATACTTCATTCCACCAACTGCTCCACAATCACCCTCACCTATCATCTTGGGCTGGTACAATAGGCCAGAAGTGGCCGCAGTACAAGGGACTTAGTCTCACACCCACTAGCAATAAAAGAATACATACAACTGACTTTCTGGATTTGAGGACCTCACACTGGTGACCAAGAACAAAGCTGTTGTCTGGGATGTGACACCATGTAGTACAAAATAAGTTTACCAACACCGTTATTGCTTGTTGCTTGCTTGGCTTATTCTTTGACCCTGACGATGGAGGCAGTACATTCTTCTGAAACATCAGTGAATAATATTATATTGTAGCATCCTCTTGCACTTTGCCCTTAGTGTTGATTAGTTCTACAGTCTTATGTGCAACATTTTATTAAAACTTATTAATAGTTAGTCACTTTAAAAGTTTTTACAACATGTTTCGACGTAAGAGGTCATCATCAGGTGTTAACAGTTGTGGGATGGTATACCTAGCATGTATGTTTGTATCTCTCTTACCGTGTTACAAGGTGTGTCCCAAAAGTCATGAAATATATTTCTTTCACGTGCTCCTATTGGTCGGAGCGTGCTGGAACCAGTTGGGTTGGGGGGGGGAGGCCTTTAGCTTCACAGCGAGCCAAAAGTCAGTCTGTTCGAGCATCGGAGGCGTCAGTATCGCTGATTTAGTGCACCTGTGTTTTGTGACCATGTCATGGCGCGGGATGGCGGATACATTCGAACAATGTTGGGCGGTCAAGTTCTGCACAAAGCTGAACAAAAAAGCTGCCGAAACTCACAAACTGCTTAAGCAAGCCTACAGGGAGTCCTCTCTATCATATGTGCAAGTTACAAGGTGGGTGAAGAAGCTTAAGGAGGGCCAGGAAGGAGTGGAAGATGACATCCTCTCTGGACGGCCATCAACAAACCAAAACAATGAAAATGTGACTCATGTGCGTGATTTGTTGAATACTGACCGTCAAATGACTGTCCGGTTGTTAGCCGACACTCTGAACATTCCAAAAACCGTTGTGTATCGCATCTTTATGGACGAATTGAACATGCGAAAGGTGTGCACCAAGCTGTTCCCCAAATTGTTGACGGACGAGCAAAAGGCCAATCTAGTGTTGATCGCGAGTGAATTGAAGGAACGTGTGGAAATTGAACCTCATTGAGAATGCACTCAAAGGACGCCATTTTGAAAGCATTCAGACTATCCAAACGGCCGTGACAACAGCTTTAAATGAGGTTCCCGTCGAGGCCTTTGAAGGGGCGTACCGGGCATGGGAGAGTCGGTGGAAAAAATGTGTAGATGCTCATGGACCGTACTTTGAAGAATATTAACACTTTGTATCGATATCATCAATAAATTAAAAATATATATATATTTCATGACTTTCGGGACATACCTTGTATGTTCCTTGTCTTGTTTCCAACTGCAGCAAGAAGGAATACACACATCGCTAGGGAAAGCATACGTGAACAACTAAGCATCAACAGAGATAGACAGCATTTTCCTCACCCACAACTGTTAACACCTGATGATGACTGCCTAGGTCGAAATATGTCGTAAAGAACTTGTGACGAACTTTTAATAAGTTTTAATGAAATGTTGCACATAAGACTCTAGAACTAATTAATACATCAGTGAACTTTTACCAAACTACATGCCATAACATACCAGAAAGTATACTCCATCCAAAACATCTTTGAGGGTATATCATACCTTTCATGGGCAACATTATGGAAGGAGAAACCTTTATGTTCAGTGAGATATCTGGTATCTAGTAGATCTAGTAGTATCTGCTTGAAATCTTGGCTGGGGAACTGGCTTGCTTTTTGTATACCCATTGGCAGTTATTCTCCTCTGTAATAATTATCACATGTAGGGTGGTACGTGTGACAAAAATAATGGGTTTTAGATTGCATGATTGGATTTATTAGCACTTCGGTTACAAGTTCTCTCTTAATTAAAATTAATACAGCACTATCACTGATTTACACAATATACAGTTCAACATTACACACACACTAGGATTCCCCATCTTCACTGGTCATCTCCTGGGAATGGATCTCAACACACAAACTAGGACTTCAAATCACTGTGAAGCCATCTTATTTTTTGTTAAATCACCCTGGAATCTTGGAACTCAACTAAATTATTCTCTCAGCTGCAAGTGTTATATAGTCGCAGCATGAACAACATAGAAAACACAGTTCTACTGCAGACCACACAGGAACACAAGTCACATGATAGCTAAGCACTGTTGGGGTGTGTTGTCATTGTGCCTGCGTGGAAGTGTGTTTACTGAGCCATTTCCTAGAAGCTGGTTGCATAACCCTGTTGTTCCACTGTTGCATGTTGAGGGAGTTGCTTAGCAATGGATTTACATGTCTCAATATTCATTATTTGTTGTTAGAACTGGATGATGGAGCTTACAACCCACTGTGGACAATGAGAGGATTCACACAGACATTTCACTTCTGGAAAGAGACTCGGCGTGCACAGTCTGTGCCACTGAATGCCTTCCTTACGTATATAACACTGCCATGGTGGAGTATAGCTACAGGTATTTTTTCTTTGTACATCTCTTGCTATAACAATTAGATGTATATAAAATGTAATCCAGGTTAGATGGAAGTAAGTTTACTCTGGACTTTGACTAATGCTATGGGAACTAAGTTGTTTAAGAGTCCTTGATGCTTCCAAGTTGAAGTGGCAGCAACATTTACCCAGGTGTTATTCATCCTGTGAGAAATGCTGCACCTGCTGCTAAAATTGCATGCCCTAGACATCTGCTTTTTGCATTTCCTTAAAAATAGTTTAAATTGTTATTGCTTGTTGGTACAGTTCCTAGGAGAGGAGAAGGAAATTTTGAAATATTATATGACAATTAATTGTGCTGCAACCTGCTAGTAGTGCCTACTGACCCTGAAAAGATCTAATTTTCTGTTTTTTGTATAGTCAGTATTCAAGACTTTAGGCTGCCATTGCAGTGAATGATGAAAGCATGGTCTTCTGAGATATGGTGCCATTTAGTTCAGTAGATAGGCTGCCTTCATCTTCAAGATAACCAAACTACAAAGCATCACATCTCAGAAGAGTGTCATCTTAATGATCAATATTTGTTTATTCAGTTATTCACATTTTGGAAATTATCTATCATTCTGGTCTTTCTTTAAAATAATGTTACGGAAACTGTGCTCTGCCTCTGTTCTCAGGCAAAAGGTGTGCTAGGCCCAATTGATGGTGCTAGTTGCTGTCTTGAGATACCAGAACCAATAAGGCAGGACATATAAACCAAACTTAACATAAACCATCTGTCAGAGTCAAACATAAACATACAAGACAGTGGATAATGTCCAAAAAGTCAATAATTGTATCAATACACCATTGTCACGAACTTTTAAACTTTACTGTTTTTTAGGTTGCTGTATGAAGTAACAGCCCAAATTGCATCTCTTTGCTGTTTCATGTCCACCTGCTAAGCATGATTCTGCATTTCAGATATTCTGGATCACCGTGAGGGACCCATTCTCACATTTTAGTAATCGCTTACTGCTGCACATGCCCGAGAAGCAATACTCAGGAAGCTTCTGTGAGTATGAGTGACCTATATTGCTAGGGCAGTGTGACAGGTCTCAGAACCTTGGAATTTCTGTGCCTGTGTGACAAAAGTGTAATGGTGATTTGATGGCACCAGTTGCAATTCATGTCTTAGAAATAAGGAATAGCATAACATATAGTTGTAGTAACTTTGAATTGTTATAATGTCTGTTGTGATGTAAGATATGGCCAGGGAGCAATCAGGATGCAACATGTTTGGAACAGCTTTGTGTGATGGTTCAGATGGTTTGTGACTGACTAATGCTACATACAGCGCAACACTGATTTAGTGTTCCTCAGTCAGAATTAGATGGCCACCCTGATCTGACAAACCATTCACTTTGTGCTCTGTCAGTTGCTGAATTTTAATTATTTTGGATTCTTACGGAAAAATTAACTATGGATGTGGGATAGTTCATTTCTGATCATTTCTAATAATGAATTAAATGTAAGAAGAGTACTGTCTTCTGAGAAGTGGCCTCCGTAGTCTAGAGGTAATGTTCCCACCTCATGACTCGTAGTACACGGGTTCAAGTACCCGGCAGAGGTCGTCGAATTTTTAAGGGCGGAAAAATTCAGGGAACAAGTCCTCCGGGAGGGACTTTAAGCTGTGGGTCCCGTGTTGTAGCTTTATGGCACGTAAAAGAACCTCATATCTCCAAAGGAGGTCACTGAGCCAAATTACAGACGTTTCCCGCCCAACAGCAGTATCTAATACCTCTGGTAGATGGGGGAAGCATTATAGATACCTCTCAGCTAGTAGAGCCGGTCTCGCTGGCTGGGCGGGACTGATAGTAAGCACCAGTACAGGTAGGATATAGAGACTGGTAGAAATCGTAGAGGGAAGCACAATGGACCAATACAGGTCTCAGTGCATGGGGAAACCCACCCTACAACCGCTCTTCGGCTGTCACTTCTTGCAACCGTTGTTCGCTACTTCTTATGACCGTCCCCTATCTATCTTTATATTTATTTATTTCTTTATTTGCCCGCTTCGGTAGAACACTTGACTCTTCTCAGGGTTGTGTCACGGTAATAACTGGAGCAACGAAGAGGCTACACATTTAAAGCTAGTCCACTGATACAAATCAAAGACACTATTTTCTGCTTAATGCAAATTGTTTATTTCAGAAGCAAATACTATAACTTTATTGGCAAGTACGGAGTAATGTGCCCCTTTTATTATTATCAAAGATTAATCGAACCAAATAGACTGATAAATTTAGATATACTTGGAGAGCGCAGCTCAATACGTCTGCCTCTGGTGAATTCAAAATGCCAAGTCCTTCACCCACTCTATTCTATGGGAGCGTCACTTCATCCACTGTATAGGATTTGAACTGACGGCCTTTCTCCCAGACAAGAATAATTTCCTAATGGCTGATTTTAACTGCCAATTCATCATACCATCAGTACTAGACAATCACATTACTAACTTTGAGAATAAAGAGATCCAAAGATATCGAACCCGGAACCCTACATGTGAAAGCGTTTAGGGTTCAATTACACCCTTCCGAAGACACTTTTATAACAGCTATCCTATTAGCAAAACAACATTTACATATTCGGCAAACTACAGACATGTCTTTTCATAATGGGCCATGTCCCTTTTATGGTCACCCAAGCTGCAGGTAACAAAACAAGGCATTTGTTCCTGTCCAAATGCGAAAAGCAAGTCATAACTTCTTAATGGATGGATCTCCCTAATAAATCAGTCACTCTATTGTATTGGCTAAAGAGGAACATAGTGTCCATTAAAGAGTTTTAAAAGGTTTGGACTGTTACAACCCTCTCCAATAACTAACTAACTAACTAACTGACTATCTTCTGAGACATTATACCGTGTACTGTAGACATTCACTGATACTTTGAAGGAACTGACTGCCACCATGTTCAGGGTTGAAGAGTAGGCATGACAGAAAAAACACGAAAAACACGGGAAAAATGTTGCTTTCACAATGAAAATCAAGGGTGCATTATTTATATTATGGTGCAAATTATGCACTGAAATACAGTAGTGCAATGTGTTAGTGGCTAGACATGGGTTCTGCACTGAGTATTTAATTTACTGAACGCTTATTACTAATAACCACAAATAGTTACAGCGCTTCCACTGTTCTATGCACCCTACAAGTGACTAAAGCACATCCAAATCTTCAGATCCTATTAATCGCACTGGTCATTGCTTGGTTACAGCCTTCATGAGGTGTTCTATTATGGTGCAAGGGGAGGGGGGTATCCCAAATTCTTGTAATAATCCCATTACTGTCACCACATAAATATTACACAATGGCCACCACCCGTGGGACTACCAAAATTTATAATGTCCCCCTGTGGGGATGCCACTTTTATTAACCTTTAACGTACGGACTTTTAAATTGCCAGCAGCCCTGTACGGCCGGAATTTAAATCGCCCTAATTAATTAACATTGCAAACTTTCAGAAAAAAATGCATATTTTCTGTTCTGTGCAACATAGAAATATGAACTAAATAGAACCTGAAAGACAATAAAATTTTCTACATGTACACAAAAGAGCAAGTTTTACAAATGAAAATTAACTGTGATTATTTTGTCATGAAATGCAAAATATAATTTTTATTATATATATGTTATGAAATTCCAAAGGACTTACCCGTTGTTTATTCTTCAACCTTGAATCATGGTGCTATTGTAAATATAATCACACTATATACAATAATATTTTGTTCAGACTTTATGCGAGTTTGAACTGCATCACTTCACAGTTTACGATACCTCACACTCTGACGCGCGTGTGCGACTTCTCGAAGCACTCCACACACACAGCACATCACACTTTTTACAATAGAAGAGCATACTTCTGCTTTTCTTATTCTGAGAACAAACATGACGTCTTTTTTTCCCTTTGGTTGGCCAGTGTTGTGAATGTTTCACCTTCAGTCTACTCAGTTGGGCCCCAGATAAACTTGGCCTCCCCCGAGAAAAGCCACTGACCATGATATTAGCCTCATGCGATTGAATCAAATCCTGCACCAATATTTCGTGGAAGAACTGGTTGGCTGGGGACAGGCTACTGGTAGTCAATGACATGAACCTGGGTGGCTGTGTGGAGTTCTCTTGAGGGATAAGGTGAGAGGTTTCCATGACTTGTTGAGATAAAACCCTGTTTCCTTGTTCATGTTGTTTGGATGGAGCTCAATCTCAGTGGCCTCCATGATGATGATGCGATCCAGGTAACGGCTCTTACAGGCGAATATGGCGGTTTTGTGAAACTGGATACGGTGGTCTAGTTCAATGCTGTGTTCAGCTATGGCTGAGTTGTCCGGATGTTCTAGGCATAAATGCCGTTAATGTTCTTTCAACCTGGTGTCCACAGAACGGCCCGTTTGCCCAATGTAGACCTTGTCGCACTCGCAGGGGATTCTGTAAATTCCTAGTGTCCTCAGTCCCAGGTGATCCTTGACAGGCCGGAGGAAATTAGATATTTTCTTAGGAGGCAGGCCAACTGATTTGATGTTGTATCGGGACAGCACTCTACTGATCCTGTTGAATATAGTCCCGACAAAGGGCAAGAAGACAACAGTGTCTCTGCGGTCATCATGTTGATTGTAGTTGGGATGGCAGTTGAGGGCCCTGTGGATCTGCCGGTCATTATAACCATTCCGTCTGAAGATGTCCTTCAGGAACTCCAACTCCGCACGCAGGCTGTCTTGATCACACAGAGCTCTGGCCCTGTGTACCAGTGTGGAAAGAGCTGCCTGTTTACTGGAAGGGTGATGATGGGACCTGGCATTGAGATAGAGGTTGGTGTGTGTGGGTTTACGGTACACTCTATGGCCTAGAGAGACATCGGGTCACCTGTAAATATCTATGCCGAGGAAGGGAAGGTGGCCTTCACTTTTGGTTTCCATGGTGAACTGAATGCTTTGGTGGATACTGTTTAGGTGGTTCAGGAAATCCCTCAGCTTGTCAGGTCTGTGGGGCCAGATGACGAAGGTGTCATCCACATAGCGAAACCAACATAGGGGCTTGTGTGGAGCCAAGTCAAGCGCCCTCTCCTCAGAATCCTTCATGTAGAAGTTAGCAATGACCGGAGATAGTGGAGAGCCCATGGCTACACTGTAAGTCTGTTCGTAGAACTGGCCATCGAAGCTGAAGTAGGATGTGGTTAGGACATTGTGAAAGAGCCTCAAGACATCTTTGGTGAAGTTTCCTCCTAGCAGATCCATAGTGTCCTTGATTGGCACCTTCATGAAAAGCGACACCACATCGAAGCTAACCATTATATCATAAGGGTTTAATCAGAGGATTTTAAGGTGTGGACAAATTTGGCAGAGTTTCTCATGTGGTGTGGGGAGTTACAGGTATAGGTGCTAAGTAGGCCAGCCAAATGTTTGGCCAAGCGATAGGTAGGGGAGCCAATGTTGCTGATAATGAGCCTTAATGGTATGTCAGGTTTGTTGATCTTGGGCAACACATAGAGTCTCAGTGGTCTGGAACATTGGGGTCGTAGTTGTTGGCAGGTCTCTTCAGCAAACGGGGACTTTTTTAGGAGAAGCACAGTCTTGCGCTCTATGGAGTCAGTGGGATCCTTCTTCAGCTTCTTGTAGGTCTTGCCCTCTAGGAGAGCAGCAATCTTCTGGTTGTAGTCAGAAGTGGCCAGAACCACGGCTGCATTACCTTTGTCGGCCGGAAGAACCGTGGGCGTCTCGTTGGATTTTAAGGCTCGGAGAGCCCTCCTCTCGGCACCAGTGAGGTTGTCCTTGGGTTTGTTGGAGCCCTTGAGGATCCTGACTGTCTCCTGTCGAATCTCCTCTGCAGTCTCTTCAGGTAGGACCATTACAGCCTTTTCAACCCCGCACAGGATATCCTGAACTGGGATAGAACCAGGGGCTACAGCAAAGTTCAGGCCCTTCCTCAGAGCAGAGTAAGGCGCTTCTTCCAAAGGTACACCACTTAGATTGGCTACGGTCTTCCTGTTGTCATGAAGGTGGGGTGGATGTGTCTTGTGCAAGTTAGTGAACTTCTTGCACTGTCTGGCTCTAGCCTCGTCACCGATATTAACAGCTTTCTGGGTCGTGATGCGGTCGATTAGGTCCGAATCAACTGCGGACAGGACTTGGGTTAAGCGAAGATGTAACTTAATCAGCTCTCTGGAGACAACGTCCAGTTCTCGTCTTGTGTAGTGGATGCGTTCACGTAGCATAGAGAAGCTGGTGCGTCTGTAGATCCTTTTGGCAGTGTCAGAGGTTATGTGGTGTTGGAACTGAAGGAAATGAGATATGATGCCATGGTCTCTGCATCTAAGGAGGAAGGGAAGGGTGCACAGTAGCTTGACTTCACAAAATTTGTTGTTCAGATTGTCAAAAATCTTCTGATTTTCCAGAGCTTATACTCTGGGTCAGCTCGATTTGGAGGAGCTTCATTGTTTACAAAATGCAGGAATCTCAAAATATGGAAGAAACGGTCTCGTACCATGGTGTTACGGTAGAATGGAGTGTAGTATTGCTCATCTCTTGACCAATAATCTTTGAGGGTGTCCCATTGATTGGGGCCCATTTGAATTATTATTGCCAAAAAATTATGCATTTCTTCAATTGTAACATCAGGCGGTCGAACAGAAGGGCCTGGAGCATCTTGGCATGCCATAAATTGGTGGAAATATATATTGGTTTCTTGTAACAAGGTTTGGAATATTTGCTGGAAAAACAGAATGAAAATGGAAAAAGGAGAGGACTGTGCATTTATATTGGGAGCAGCTGATCTGTTGATTCCATTCAGAGGACCACTGAAGTCCAGTACCTTTGGCGAATCCTCGGGTCTTCTATGACGAAACCTAATTTCCGCTTCCTCTGCCTCATTACATTATGATGATGACAGCATATTTTCACGAGGTTAAATGAACTCATTGAGTTCTTCTAACTCTTCATCAGATTCCTCTTCCATCAATATTTCCTCCAGTTCTTCTGCATCGAGAAGTTTTGAATATCGGGCACGTTTTTGAGGTTCTATCTTGGGGGAGGGGGGTTTCCAGCTAAATCGGATAAATTATGTTGATTGACAAAGCAATACTCTCACCTGTTAGTAATAGTCCAAAATAGTGATGCAAAGTACACTCAACTCTCGATTATCCGGCATAATGGTGGGGATGAAAATCACCTTTAATTGAAAACCCGGTTAAGACAAATTTTATTAAAAGCAGTACTGTAATACTGTACTGTAAAACTGTACTGGTTTCACCTTCTTAGGTTGATAACACTATCTCTGGGACTAAAGCTTGAGCATCTCAGGCGATGACCCTGGTCTGCCTGTTCGTTTTGTGGCACACAAACAGCCCGTTTCCTCAAATTTCCTATACCACTCTCTCGTTATTTTTATCCATCAGTGGTTCTGTATGATACTTGGTTTGGAAACCATGTTGCACTGTTATAACTGACCTGGTTTTAGGAAGTTGCAAGATGCAAAAAGATTTCTGTTTGCCTGAAAATGCAATGTTTCAACATTACTGTCTCCTAGTTGCAGTTTTCTATTGGATTTGATGTGCTTTGTCCATGTCAGTCTTATATCAAGATGCAGGCCCAGATATTTCCCTTCATTTTTGTGGTGTCGATCAACATTTCCCATTTGCACTGTCAGACAGGTTTGGTTGCATAGGGTGAGTGTAATGTGTGGATTTGCTTTGATTTGTTTTAATTCTACATTTGTTCACCCAGTCATCGATCTTATTGATGGTTGCTTAGGGTTTCATTTAGGCTGTTGCTGGATTTTCATGTGACTAAGATTGCTGTATTATCGGCGAAGGTATCAGTTGTTGTGTTGTCTGATATCGGGAGGTCGCTTGTGTAGGTAAGACATAGGAGAGGTCCTTGGACACTACCTAGCAATACTCCTGCTTCAATTTTCCTTAAGGCTGTGATATTGTCTTTGAATTTTGCTTGAAAGAGCCTGTCCATTAGATGTGATTCTAATATTCTTTAATATGCATTGGGAAGGATTTTTCTGATTTTGAACAAGGGGCTTGAGTGCCATACTGTATCAGATGCTTGTGATGTCTAAAAATGCCACA